TAGTATATACGGGCAGGTCGAAATTGCATATTACAAAAGTGTTTGGGATTTCACGAGAATCATAATATGAGAATGTGATGTTCACGTTTTTGCAATACACAATATATAATGTGATCACCCCTACTCACATATTTTTATTAACACTTGTATTTTCAATGTCATTTACAAGATGGCAATGTACTTTATGCCAGTTTAGTTTCATTTTTCGTCAAATTGATCATGCATCTGATATTATAATGTTTTGCGTATAGTTGTTTGCCTTTACAATTTAAGTTGTTAAACTTTAGTAGGTAGGTATCACATTATGAATTTTATATATTTTTATATATTTATTAAATTTAATAACAACCATTAATATGACACAAATAACAAACACATAAATAATGCTAATGGTTATAAATGTATAACTTAAAAGGTATCTTACTAATTAATGTCGAAAGGTAAATGTATAATCATAATATTTGTATAAAACAGATATATTTAAAGTCGTAAATGGTAAATCGTAACGTAGGTAGGTACATTACATACAATCAATGCACGATGAAACATTTTATTTTACTGTTATAAATGTATAATATTAAAATAATGTATAAACAAGATGGGAAATTATATGACAGTTTTCGTGTAATGTTTGTTGTCGAAGTATTAAATGAGTTAATAGATTATAGTATAATAATTTACATGTAAATATTACCCTTAAATTTTTAAATATTATTATTTTTACGATAATTTGTACATATTTTTAGATTTTTTTTTCGTTTATTTTTTTCATGAAAATTAATAATTTAAATACTTTCATCACACTACTTATTTTATTACATATTGCTTCGGTCCAATTACTTGTTTAATGCGTAAAATAACATTGAAGAATTCACTGATTAGTTGATCAGGTTTAAATAGGTACCTCTACCTACATACATAAAAAAAACAAACTAAATCATGTTAAAGCTTATACCGTAAGCAGTTAGGTAGGCAGGTTCAAAAATATGTAAAATTGTACACAAAATACGAATTATATTAAAAGGATATTATATAGGCGTATTGTATATAAGATAATAATATTTTATAGTATTACTTATATGTTGCTACGGGAGTGCAAGACGGTCCCATCATATAGAATATTTACTTTAAAGGTATGAACATATTTTAATCATACAATTAGATAACACGGGTCTGTCTGTTGTAGAATAATTTTTTATCATAACTCAAATATATACTATGGAAATATCCTAATCATATCAGCTGTATATAATATTTAATATGGTAGGTATAATAATTTGATAAAATAGGTAACATTACATCGAACAAGCTGCACTTCAGATTATTTCATTATATTGTTTAATAGATAGGTACTATTATTAAAGGTATAATATAATGGAAAATTGCAGTTATTTTGTTCTACCATATTATTTTATTGATAATATTATAACATTATGATTGTTGGAAAGATTTTGTACTTTGTCTTAGATCTTGCAATTCAAAAATAATTTTTTTTTAGGTACTTGCGTTTTACTTGTCCATACAATCAGCATTTGTTTCATTCGTTCATACAATCGGTATTCGTTTCATACGTGACTCAATTATTATTGACAAAATATTTACATGCTTAACTATACTCTCGACACTACAGTAATTGTATACATAATATAAATAATACTAATGCTGTTGTTGTAACAAGGTGAAATCTCATGCCCACAATACACCAGCTCATACTTCATCAATGTACACATATGTTATGTATTATGGTACCAACAGCAGATGTGCAGATCAACCCATCAATGATAAGAATATTTAAGCAGATTTGGCAGATGACTACATACACATAGTGCCCCGTGATGAAAATCCATTAAATACTTCATCTAATCTGTAGGTAGGTACAGGGACACATTAACCCACTTGCGCCCTCTTGTTGGTGTAATTCTGTCTCGGGGAATTTAAGTTAACGAAACAAAATCTGTACAAACAACATTTACTTCCCGTCCCCCGGAATGCTCTTAAATGGAACCACCACCAATACCAATGATATAAGCAACACAGTACTTAAACCTACGCTACACGGAAACATAATATATAGACAAACGATTACGTAGTATGGGACACGTGCACATTAAATCAAAACGCTCTTCCCCAAATAGTAAATACTTACTAACTATAATAACATTCTTACCAGACATAAATTCAGCCTCCGAATAACAGAGATACGATACATTATAAACACACACACACACACACACACACACACACACACACACACACACACACACACACACACACA